TTTCTATTGCTCCATTATCTCTGCACTATTTGAAAACTTTGGGGATTAGTGGGTTGTGTGTTTGTTTACACTAGAAATAATCGAGCTATCTTAAGCGCTCATGGATTCTTCAGGTATGCATACATTACTTTACTTGTTAATGTGAATTGAGATATATAAAATCTATCATGTGGTATCAGAGTCAAACTCGAGTTTGCTCAGTCAGTGAGCCATTTGGTGGGCCACCCGAGATGGGACGTCATAGATTAGTCGGGGGAGTTGTTAGATCCCACATTAAAAAGATTTGAGGAGGGTCTTGATTATATAAAGAGGTACACTGTACACCTCAATGAATTAGTTTTTTTAGAGAGAGAGAGTAATAATCCTGTAACATTAATTACATTTCCCATCCTACGCTTTCGTCCCGTAAGTGTAATATGATGCCAAGCTATATAGATTGATGGGACTTATCTGTTTTCTTATACATAATCTAATCTTTTATGTCACACAATTGTGAAAAATAAAAGCCATCTCACTCTCGCACACCTATCGTCATTTTTTTTTATATGATATCATCGTGCTCAGCAAGAAAAGAAAAAATATTATTTCAATTCAATTAACCTGTCCAAAACCTTTAATTGGACTGGTCAAAAAATTGATTTACTAGTTGATTAATTTGACTGGATAATTTCAATTAAATTTTAATATCATGATTTTTTTATTATTGTAATTCTGAATAAATAATCATATCCATGATATCTCCATCTTGCTTTGATCATCAATAATAGATAAATAATTACTGACAACTGTATTAAAAAAACTTTGACAAACTACAATATTCATGAAATCGAATCTTCTGTAATATTTTTCTCCCTCAATTGCTCAAGTACAATGTAGTAGTCAAACTTCTGTTAATTAATTTTTTTATTTTCATTTTATTTATAACAACTTTATTTCGCTACAATACACATCAATTGGGCAATTGACGAAGGTATACTCCGTAAGGGATCCAAATCTTATTCGTACAAACAATGTAATATTTATTTTCCATATTCAATACAATCCACAGTATAGTTTTAGGAAGATATCTTTTCACAGAGATTTTTGTTTGGTTATAGAGAGAATTTAGTGTGCATTTGGATAAGAGAAATAATCAAATTTTTAGTCCAAAATCAATTTTTTGAGTCAAGTTATCCAAACAACAAAAAAAAAATCAATTATTGACTTAAACATGCATTTTTTTTCATACGCTCTCGTATTTAGCTTTCTACAAAAAATTGATCAAAAGTGTTGGAGAAATACAAAAAAAGGTTCAAAAAAATTATAAAAAAGACACAATATTAAATAAAAGTAAAACCAAAATCTCTTTTTTTCTCTCTTTTTTTTCTTAATAAAATTTAAATTTTGGATATTTTAAAAAGTTGTTAGCATGAGTTTTTGTCAACCACCATTTTTCACTTAACACTTACTATAAAACTAATTCAAATAAAATATTAATTGATAGAGAAAAATTAATTTAATTTAATTTAAAATTTAGAATCATTACAAAAATTATTACAAAGGTCCAAAAAGAGTGAGAGATTTTGCGTCATTTGTTACATTGCTCTATTTTTTATATTGCTAAAATTTTAAGGTAGTGTTTAACATCTTTGTTAGATATAAGTCATATCCATGATATCATTAAAGATTAATTTGCAAATTATCATTTTCATTAGTTATTGTAAAATTAATATTTGGTATTTAAGAATTAAATCTTTCTCTTTTATTAAATTTATTTTAACTAAGATATATTGAGTTATCTATTTATATAAATTTAAATGTTAATATTAATATAATTTAAATTTTTAATTAATTAGATCTGTAATTTAAATAATATATTTTACTTCTTAAGTAAAATGTAAGAAATTTAATAATATTAGATATAAATTTATTAATAATTTAATTTTGAAAGGCAATGTCCTTTATAGTAATTTATACAGATAAAATTGATTCTAAATAAATTATCCAAACATCTTTAATTCTGTTAAAATTAATTTTAGAAAAATTATATCCAAGAAAATTGTATTATAATATAATTAATTATAATTAAAATTTATTATTTAATTAATTATTTTTATAATTTATTATATTCAATCAAAATTCAAACCGACATTCAATCCACTAAAGCGTTTTCAAATATATTTTATGGGCCTGCCTGGACCAGCAGTGGGGAAGGTGCAGGTTCGTTATAATAACTGGGCCTAAACAGAGCCAAGTGGGCCAGTGCTCGGTGGACAATCCATTTCGCCCGGTCCCACAAAAAGCGTACGAAGAGGGTGATCATTGATCAATATTCATTATTCAAATGCTCGGAAATTCGGAATGGTAACCGAACCAAAAATGAGGGGGCACGAGAGAATAGTTAACAAACCCGTGAGTAAGAACGATTTCACGGACATTTGTCTCGTTGTCTCGGAATCGCGGCAAAAACCGGAACCTGTTTCAACTTTCGATGCGCTAATCCAGACCGTCGATATCTTGAACTAAGCAGTACAGATTTAATACGTTTTTTTTAATATTTTTAATAAATTATTATTTTAATACTCCATCCGTTCTTATATGTAAAATATTTTTAATATAATCTTACATATTAATAAAAGTTTATTATTTGGCTAAAATAAAATAAAATTACATAAATTTTTTAATTTTGCCCCTAATAATATTATAATTAATATCATAATGGTGGTAGGAAAAATATGCGATTAATGATCCATTCTACTCCTCCTATCTTATATATTAATCACTTTTTAAAAGTATAATTTAATCCATTTTATAAGTAACTAATATGTTTCAACACAAATATAAAATTGTCTAATTACTTAAGAACATTATTGACACTTTTTATATATAGAGATGGAGGAAGTAGATATTTTATCTACCCAAATTAAAATAATAATAAAAAATGTTATTAATAATATTTTTTAATATTTTTATTTTTATATATTTTTATTTTTAATATTATTTCACAAATTTATTATTATTATTTTTGGCAAGTATAAATGGATTATTAAATAAAGAGTATTTTTAAAAGTTTATATTTTTATTTTAAAAAATAATATTATAAAGTATATTTAAATTTGAGTAAATTGGCCTCGTAAAAAATATATTAACTAAAAATTATGGAAGAAGTTTTTGAAAATTCTAAAATGTGGTGTTGGTGTGTGATTGTTTCTTTTTATCTTCAAAATAAATGAAAAAAATTGTGTAATAGAATGACAAAACTCTCATAATTGAATGATTATAATCGTAACCTATTTATAACCATACTTTTTTTATTAAAAAATATAAGATATTTTTAATTAAATTTTACCATTTAATAAAGTAGTTATTTGCTTTTAAACTAACCATATATTTTTATATTTACTCTTACTAAACACCCTGCAATAAATATAAAGTCATTTATTAATACGGATACTTTTAAAAAAAGATAATAATTGCACATCAAAAGATAAAAAATACCTTATATTTATATTTTTAAACATTCAACTCTTCAAAAAATGTCTTATATTTTTAAATAGAGGGAGTATATCATTTTAATATTTGAACACTTTTGATTTTTGAATATTTCACCATCAGCGTAGTTGGCATAATATATTTTGGATTTAAAAATAAAAATGAAATTTCAAATTTGAAAAAAAGAGATATTTTTGTCATTTCAATTTAACTTAAATATTAAAATGTTAGGCTGTTATCTTTATTTAGTCTTATTAAATGGACTATATATATAAAAGTCCTTTTAAATTTAATAAATTTTATTGATGCATGTGATTTTATCTAAAAATATATTTTAAATTGTGAAGTATAATGTTTAAATTAAAATAGATGTAATGTTATAATTGCAACTCCTTCAAAAAAAATTTTATACTCTCCTTGTAAGAAGTTTTTTCTGAGTTAAACTTAGTTTAAAACGTAGATCACTTCGTATATTTTGAAATTATCTTTCCGGATGTATTATTAGCATGTTTTTGGCCAAAACCAAGTTACATTTATTATTTGCATTAATTAACTAGAAGTATTGTTTTCGTTCTATTTTATAAAACATTTTTTAAAATAATTTAATATTTTAAAATATAAGATATTTAGATAAAAATAATGTTTTATTAACAATAATTATTTTAATATTGTCTAAATATGATCACCTTATGTTAATCAATTTTTTAATTAAAACCCAAACACACCATTCTAATTAATGGTTCACAGCTAACAACTCGATGGTTCGCATAATTTATTTCTGGCGTTCTACCCAATTATTGAGTTCATCCGTTCCCACAGAGCTTCGGCTACTGCGGCCATGTATTGCATCGAAGATCCCGTCGGAGCCTAGATCAAGCGTGGTAGTTGGGCATGATGTAACCAAGAAGCCAAGTTATAAAATAGGAAGTGTATTTGTTTGAATAAGATTCTTAAATATTCCTCCAATATTTATATATAAAATATTTTTAATTAAATTATATATATTAATAAAAATTGATTGTCTAATTTAAAATACAGTAATATTTTAATTTTATTTTTAATTATTTTAAATAAAAAAAATAATTTTTTTAAAGTAAATTGATAAAAATACTTATTTTTTTCTTTTTAATTTAATAAAAGTATAATCCATTCATTAAAAAATATGTTAATAACTTCTTATATTTTAAATAAAAAATATTTTAAAAGACCTCTTATATATAAGGAGGGAGGAGTAATTATTTTTTTTACATCTATTAAATATTAAAAATTTTATTAAATATTAAAGTATTTTATATTTAAAATATATATATTTAATAAAAATAAAATTAAAAATTTATTAAATTTTAAAATAAAGTTGATAGGATTTAATATGTTTCTTGATTCACGTGGAAACAGCGGAATTGACTTTAGAGTACCATGCTATAAAAATAACTTTTCTATGAAATTTTTTTTGTTTTTATTTTACCTCATGCCCTGTCATTTTCTGAATTCTTCAAAACCTTAAAGAGGCTCAAAAGCTAGGGCCATTACGGTCACAACGGCATTGTGGAAGAAGGGAAAATAAATGCCCTTGTTGCGAAAGAAGACGTCGTATTTACTAAGCCTTTCTGGCAAATCGCGCCACCGTATTCGTAATGTGGGCTCCGAAAGAGCTTCACTTGATGTGATGTGTCGTTTATAGCTCCGATTGATTATGTCCTTTTTAAAGCCAGCTCATGAATGAGCCAAGCCATTCCTACTTCCGTTCTGATTCAAATCAGTAATGGCCGTTGATTCGTCCTGTGAGGTAGGTAACCTTCTTCTTATACACTGCTTAACTGATGAAGTTGATCTTCGGCCAGATGTCCAACTTATGTAGATTTGCTTGCTTGATATGTATTTTCTCAGGATCTGAAGTCAATCGCATTTGCCAATTGCTTTTCAGTTCTAGTTTAGTTGCAAAGAGCTGACAAGAAAGTCAAATTTTTGTGAAGTTGTGAGGTTGTGAAGTACTCTGTACTCCACAGTTTTGATGGAAATTCTATGATATAAATATCAAATGTCAAACGATTTTGTTTAGATTTTCCTCTAAGTTCTCTTCCATTTGAAACGTGAAAGTTGACTAACGGATTGAAATGAAGTAAATCTCTGGCTAGATGTCCAAAACTGTATTTTGCCTCTCTATTTTGTAAGCTAAGTTTTAAGTCCTGTTGCTTGACATGAATTTTCTCAGCATCTGAAGTTAATCGCTGCCAGTTACTTTCCAGTTCTAGTTTAGTTGCTTAAAGTTGAGGAAGTAAAGTGAAGTTGTGAAGTACTCTACTGTTTCGATGGAAAATCGAAGATATAAATCCCAGCGGTCAAGCGATTTTGTTTAGAATTCCTTCTAAACTCTCTTTCACTTGAAAAGTGAAAGTTGATTCACGGATTGAAGTGCGAACAATAGTGTTTAAGTATAGCTAACTAATATTTCGGGGACACAAAAGACACACTCCGCGAGGTGCGAAATTAGGATAACATTTAAGAGACGACTTTGTTCAATCTACATTTTCCAAGCTGTAGAAAACTCTGACGTGTAGAATACTTGCAGGGAGAACCACTAACTGAGGAATTCTTGAAAGGGAATGGCAGTTTACCTGCCAATTGTAGGTGTGTGAAGTCTCTTGAATCAAGTCCTACTGAGACTAACCAACACTTTTCCTCAGGTAATTATGCTAAAGAACTTGTGTGATTTTCCTTTCTCTTTGTTTCTTCCCCCTTTAGATAAGATGTACATAAGAGGTCGCTGAAAGGACTTTAATGTTTAAGTTGATACTTTGTACAGTTCCAGAGATTCCGCCTATTCTTTTTGAAGAGACTTCACTTCCAGCAGGATTATATCAACCTTTAAGCGATTCACCTGTGAGTTCTTTACCTATTAGAAAGTGATTTTAACCCTTTTAATGTTCACACTTTTTTCCCTTTCTTGGTTGAATCCACTTCAGACCTTAAGTATTTGGTTCTATAATCTTGTTTGTTTGTTTGCTTGCTTGTTTTGACATCAGATCAAACGTTAAGTATATGCTTGGTAAGAGTGAGAATGGGAAAAATATAGATCAATGATGTTGTGTGTTGATTGCAACAGCTTGGTGTGGTTTGAGTGCTTCTTGCAAACTAGAAGAACATAAATGAAAATGCTATACTTGGTCTTACTTTACCCAATAAGCTGTCTTTTTCGGCGGCTTTCTTCTTCTTAAATGGTATATATGATGATACTGTTGACACTCGACATGTGCTTGTTGATGTTCGATGCAATTTCTGTTAATGCTTGTCATGTGTTCTCCCGAGGGAAGAGGCACTACCTTCTGGAGGGTTTTAAGATAAGTTCATCCATCTTCAAGCTAACTTCCAAATAGAAGTTTCTGATGCTGGAAACGGTTGATTACTGGGGGAGAATTTATTTATGATTTTCATTTTTTAGTTTTTGCAAATGGGGTAACGTTTCAAAGACGTACATTATGATATAGAATTTTCCTAGGGCTATCTTTCTTCATAAAATAATAAATTTCTAGTTGTGTTATTAAAGAACCTGATTACTTTTTATCAAATGGTTTAAGTTTCTAAAGCTTCTTGTTCTTACAATATAAGGATGAAGGAGAGAGAATAGAAAAACTTATCAGTGTTGTATCCATGTATTGCGTGCTGTTCTTTGAATTGATTTATCAAATTTCATGTCATAAACAGCCAGCCATCTGGAAATGCTTGAAACATGCCTGTATTTTTTCCTGAATTATTTCATTTCTATTTCTGTAGGGTCAAAATGTCTATAGTATTTCAGTGTTGTCCAAGGACGTTGTTGATGCACGTGCTTCACCACCAGCATTCTTAAGCATCTTGGAGGTTCCCAATCAATCTAAAGGTCCAATGTGCGTAGATGCGCACTTGAATTGCCAGAACTGCTTTAATTTTCAAATGGAGAATGAAGAGGTGTATTCCCCATGCATAATTGATCTACCTAGTGAAAAGGAAAATTCAATTTCACCAGAATCATACGAGGAGGGAGTTGAAATTTTTAAAACTGAAAATTTACTTGCTGTAAGTCTCGTACATCCATCTCATGAGCCTCTCCTTTTTTAGGATAACGTCTGATAGTTAACTGCTGACAGTTGATATGATCTGAGAAGCAATTGTGCGATTTGCTGCAGCATTTCTTTTTGGCTTCTAAAAGGGAAACCGAGTTTGTTTTAACATAGGATTTACACTTCTGTCAGTTCTAATTTTGCACCACTGTTGCGCAAAATTGCAGAGGTTATTTTGGAGACAAGCAAGTTTTAAATTTGGCGGAAGAGGTATGTTTTTCTGAATTCTTCACTTTGCTGTTTTGGAGCGTGTTAAGTATAGTACAAAGAGAAGGACATTAACAAGAAAATGGTAAATCTTCATTAATCATCTACAAATGACAATGAGAAACAAGCCCAACTAGGGTCATTTACAAAACAATATGACCCTATTTTGAAAGGTGAACCAACCCCAGACTATGAGAACTAACCATGATTACAATGAACTTCCCTACTTATATACCTTACCTTCAACCATATATATAGGTTTAGGCGAACAACTAATCATGATTAACGGCCAATTAATATTCCAATAGAGTGGATAAGCATTTAATGATTCATGTAAGCTTATGCAATTTTTGTTTTACCAGACATAATAAAACGGATGACTTGCCTTGTGCATGTAGTATGACCTAGAGCTGATGGAAAATTGTCCTGCTTGACGAACTAAGTGACTTGACGAGAGAAAAATTCTCTTATAACAAGAAGCTGGCTAGAACCTTCCTCTAGTGTAGCTAGGAACGGATGTCCTCGTACTGACTTTTCATAGTTCGTATTCTAAAGATAATTGAAAGTTGATACTCCTTTTTAGCCTACTGAATAATTATGATGTGGACATCAGATCATCAACTTGAAAATATTGCATTTATAGGTGGTAATATGGGTTGAGCCGAACCCGTGAAAAAATACAAGTTGGATTGAAAAAAATGGATTCATTTCCATGCATGGTGGGCCAAAACCGCCCGTATAGCTTGAACCTGCATTGGGTTTTTTTTTTTTTTTTTTTTAAAAAAAGCCAGAAATTGAAGAGTTGCCCTCAATTTTCAAATCTACCAAAATTTTAAAACTAAATAGACAGTTTTGGATAGTTAATTTACAAAAAATTTAAAAACTGTTATTGGAGCATAAGATTAAATCTATACTATTCAGATTAATAATAAAATATATTTATTAATTTTTGTAATTTTTATTTTAATAATTATAAATTGAAAAATAAAATAAAATTTGTTAAGCTGGACCATCCAAAATCGAAACTGTACTTGAGGTATTATGACATGTCCTTAACAACTAAACTAATTAACATTCACTGGAGGAGCGGGAGGGTATAAGCTTTCATTTAGACAACAAAGAAATGAGGAATAAATTTTCGTTGTTGAAATCAATATCAACATATAATATAAATGAAATTAATATACCAAGCTGCACTTTTTTTGGAGAAGTCTACTTAAATTAATATTATAGCAGCTTTTAATAAAGTTTCTAACATTATGATTGATTAGAAGAAATTTTCAAGCTTTGAATTGTAATTAAGCTTTTTTACTATGTTTGTTTGTGATTAATATATATTTATTTTCGGCTGTATTAATGTATTTTCAATTTGAATTTTTTTTAATGATTTAGAAGAAGTTTTATTATTTTTTGGATATTTAGTTTTAGAGAGAAAATATGATTTTTTTTTACAACAAAAAAACAATGAAAAGAAGTAAATTTATAATTTTCAAAATTAAAAAAATGTATATAACAACTATTTCACCAACCTGCTGCAGGTTGGTAAAAATATAACCCTCCTCGCTAAGCCCACAATCAGCTGCGAGCCAGCCCGCAGGTCACAGGCGAACTCATATTACCAACTCTAATTACATTTCATGTGATTCAAAAGCAAAAGGGTAAAACAAGCATTATGTTCATGCATTGCTTGGGGTAATTAAAAGTTCTACGGAAGAGTAGAGATGGTCGACTTGAAATTAAAGATTGAATATCAAGGACATCAAATTCAAATTGTCAATCATAATTCTTGTGTTTTTCATAATTAACCAACTTGAGTAGCTGTTACGGATCATTATTATATTTCGTTGCGCTTTTTCTGACACCCTTCATAGTTTGCAGCTTTGGATTCGTCTTCTGATTATCTTCTTTTCCATTCGCTCCTACACTTACGTTTTTATAGCTGATTTCTTCAGTGGGTTGGATGCATCTCTAACTGTTATATTTTGTAAATCAACAGAAAAATCAGTCACTGAGAAAGTTCATGATATACCAAATAACAAATGCAGAAGACTCAAGCGTTCCACTTCGTTTGATTCCAGAAAAGTCGCACTTCTATTTTCAATATTGTAAGTTCAACTTTCCACAATCTGCTGGATTTAAAGTTACTTTCTTTCTGACTGCTAAACAAAGAACTCCAGAATGTCCATGAATCTGTTGGTCGGATTGTATAAATGAATAGGGCAGGAGAAAAATAGTCTTCTTGATTCTATGAATTGACTCTGGGATCAGAAATGGGTTTGGTTACTGTTGCTAATACTTGGGTGGTATTTGTAGGAGAGAAATTTCTCATTAACATTTTCAAAAGCTTTCTTATGGAGGGATCCACAACCACAATCATCATTCACAACAACACTTGACCTTTGAATTCCTTTACCACAGCCTCTTGAGCATCTCTACCCTTCAAAAGTTTTTAAGTATTCCTTCAGTAGTCCATGCCAATCCAAAACATTAAGGTGGTATTTGGATAGGTGAATTTGGATTTTAGATTTAAAATTTCACATCTAAAATTCATGTATTTTAAAAACCCTTTGTTTGTGTAGTATAAAAAATCCACATTAGTAAAAATGAACTTGTCCTCATGTTTGGGTGATATTGAAAGAGGATGTTTGAAACTTGAAATAATTAGGGTGGATTAAGTATTTGAAATTATAGAGGACTTGTAATAAAATTTCTTTGACTTGGATCAAATCCAAATCCATAAAATTTTAAGCATCCAAATCATAGATTTAGTTCAAATCTAAATCTAAATCTCTAAACATAACATAAAGGAAATGTTGAAGGGAGTTGCTGGGGTGAATTTCGTTAAAAACCTTTTCCTTGCTTGGGACTTAGTAATGTGGAAGGATGACTAAGGACATTCCAAAATCCTCTGACGTCTTAATTGGTTTCTAACATTAGGTTTTCTCAATTTGGGGGATTCTGGAGGAGGAAGTTTCTCCAAGGAAATTGTCACTCAACCATCGCTTTTCTTCTCTGAATTTCTCTTTAGATTCCTTCTTTAAAGCCCTTATCCTCCCAACTTCCAAACATACCTAGGAGGCAAAAATTCTACATCATTTACATCTATGATGTGTTTGAATTGATGAGAATTTGGATTTGAATCAAATTCCTCATTTGAATACATAAAAAGTCATGGATTTGGATCAAATTCAATTCCAAATCCATTTTTCACTATAATTTCTTTGTAATTTTAGATTCTGGTTGCACTCTAATAATTTAAAATTTTGGTCACTTCAAATCTCGTATTTTATATATGTTTTTATTATTGATACTTTTATGACTCTTATATCTTTTATCATATTATTATCTCTTTCGTTTGGTATGATTGAATAGTTTTTGATGGAATTGGAATCGGAATCGGAATTAGAATTGGAATCAAAATTGAAATAGAATTGGATTACAAAAATATGTTTGGTATGTCAGAAAAATTAGATAAAATCCTTACATTATTTTTGTTTGGTACATAAGACATGAAAATGGAATTATACTTAAAAGACAAAAATACCCCTATATAGAAATTAAAATAAAACATAATAAAAGCTTAATTGTGTTTCAATTTTCTTATATATTTTATATGTTAATGAAATATTATATAGATGATAAATATTATATATAAGTAAAATATTTTACAAAAATATTTTAATTTCCTCACATGTTTAGTATATAAATAAAATATTAGATAGATGATAAATATTATATATAAGTAAAATATTTCATAGAAGAAATATTGTAAATACATATATCGTATTATATTTTACACATACACACATATATTATAATTGGATGTGGTCATTTTTGGGTGTGGTTAGGGTTATATGTTTTTAGGGCAAAATTGTCTTTTTATAATTTTTATGAGGGTAAAAGTGTCTTAAAAGTCATAATTTTATGGAATTGCCCTTGATTCCATAGCTTTAAACAAAGAATTCAATTCAACCTATTTTCATGAAATTGGGATTCTTGGGAATTATGATTCATGTCTATCAAACATCACTTTATTTAGATTCTTTTTCCAATTCTATTTCCATCTCTACAATTCCAGTCTACCAAACATGACTTTATTGATTGAAAAATTGAGGTAAATTCACTTCTCCTAATTCTTCTTTTTTGTTTCAAATCTTAACTTATCTCTTTTCATTTGAAATTTTTTAATCTATTCAAACAAAAAAAATTTAAATATATAAATTTTAAATTTATAATTCAAATTCAAATCCATTCATCCAGACGCTTGGTTATGCTTATGCTTGTATATGTAATGTAAGCCTCCGTTTATGCACTCTTTTGGGAAGAGGGAGAGTGCAATGGATCTGGAAATTCTTTCTTTCAATCGAAATAAATAATCTAGGAGTAGTGACGATAACACTCTGTTCTAAGTTATTCTAGTTTCTTTTTTGGAGCTTCCCTTATTCTACCTACTTAACATCTTTCACTAAATATATCAATATATTTAATATTTATGCAGGTCAAGTTTGGGATCGCTGGTGCTGATATACCTGACGTTGAGAATCCGGCTTAAGGGTGAGAATTTTGTTCTTATTTAGTCGTTCAACCTTTGCTGCCTTGAATTAGATTTTTTTTTTTAAATGCTGCCGTGTGTTGACGTGTAGAATAGTTCCCTTCTGTTTCAAATAAAATAAGCTTCTCTATTAAAATTAATTCATGACTCCTTATAATGTTGATGACAATATCTGGGAAATGTTTAGCATATAATTGACATTTGCATATTCCTTTATATATATATATTTTTTTTTTCTTAGATGTTAAAAAATATAAAATATTTTTAATATTTCAATATATAATTATTATCTTTTTTTTTAAAGTGCCCCTATTGAATAATCATTTTATATTTATGATAGAGAGAAACACCCTATTATAAAAAGGTAAATATAAAAAGATATTATTAATTTAAAAATAAATAATTACTTTATTGAGGTGAGATTGAAAGGAATACATAGCTTTAGCACTGGTATAGAAGGCCTGATTTATGCAAACTTGGGTTCTATTATTGAGAAATATTTAGGTACATTGGGTGTACCACATCATTTGTGATTGGTTTAATAAAAACATAATATTTAAATGTATTAAATATGAATTGATTTTAATATTAATGATAATGGAGAGAGAAAAGGGAAGAAATTAAATTTGCATTTTGTTATAAAAATAAAATTAATTTGAAAAATGTCACACTAATTTATTTAGATTGCTTAGAGCATTTTAATTGAATAGACTATAAATGACGTGGCGTACCCGATCTACCTAATCATTTTTCTATATGATTTTAAATTTCAACTAGGGGTGGGAATAGGTCATAGGGGCCTATGCCCTCGCTTATTTCAAGTCTAACTTAACCTATTTATTAAATAAGTTTAAGTTAGGTTTAGGCTTTTAATTAAATCTATTTAATTAAATAGGTTAAATTTATTTGTTCAAGACTTAACCCATGAGCCCAATAAATTGACTTATTTACACACACATGTATACTATGTAATATATCACGCATATTAGTTTCATCCTTTGATTTTTAATCAATATTTTTGTTTATTTTTAGTTATGTTTTCAATCAAATTGAACTTATATATTAATTTTAATGTTATTACTTTATTATTGTATTGTAGTTGATAAGTTCTTTAATTATTATATATTGTAATTGATAAAGTAAGTTATATATTAGATACTAATAGTCCTAAAGTATATTTAAAATATTTAAAACTAAAATACAAACCTCTTTAAAATGTTTATTTTTAAATAAACTTTTAGGTCAGATCATACTTTAGCCTTTAAGTAAATCTAAATTTGAGCCATAAGAAAAGTCTTATATAAGTTCAGACCAAACTTAAACCTTTGATTTACTACAGATCTATTTAACCAAAGTCTAATTCAGCCTAACTTATTTCTTATTTCTACCTTTAATTTCAGCAGAATAAATTAGGATATGCTTAAATTTAGGAACAATTAAGAGAGAGAGAAAGGTTTGATTTGAATGTTTCTCCGAATACAAATTTAAATAAAAATTTTCTTTATTTTTCATCCATTTTTCTCAATGTAAACATTTTAAGTTTTAACTTCCAAATGACCTCAAGTCTACGCAAATTAAAACTTACCCCCAAAAAAAATATAAATATTCTGAGCTTATTACATCTATTCTTATATGGAGACTCTCTAATTGTATGATAATTAAAAAAAAAAGGAAAAAAGAAAATGGAATGACCACGGGTCTCTATATCATACATGAACAACTACAACAACGCGTCCCCCTCACCTGTGTAACCTGAAGAAGCGTTCACATATTCAGTGTGGTGCGTAGTGAGGATACGGATTTAGGTGTTGTGTAAATTACCTTTCTCTAGCATGCACAACCTCCTCCTTGCTGCTCTGGATTGGATGAATTGACAGTAGGCTTTAGATTTACATCAACCATTTCTTCCTGTTTTGTGGAAGACAGAGTTTCCATCCCGGGCAAGGCAGCCGCAATTTTACGAAACAAAGGCTGCAAATTTTCACTTGCGTAAGACGCCTACCCAAGTAAGGGAAAATTGGAAGAGGAGTTGTGATTGGATATAATATTGAAAAGCTTACCTACTTAATCTTATACATACATGCATACATACATACATATATATATATATATAATATACTTTCATTGAAACAAATAAATTTTAATGTGTTAATAATATTAATAAAAGTTTGTTATAGAATACATAATATATAAAAATATTCACATGTTTTGATTTAACTAGAAAACAAGAACTTAATTTAAAAAAATGCTAAGTATACAAGTTTTTCTCATATACTATAAGAGAAAGAGAGAGAAGATTTTTTTGATCTTTTTTGCAAGATGGTATATCATTAATTTCTTATTACAAACTTTTTTTCTTATTAAATGTTACAGAATTAATGAGTTTTAAATTTTTCCTTGAATCAAATGAAATGTGATAAAAATGACTTATAAAATAGGATAGGAAAAATTGTGATAAAATTTTCCTTGGTTTGGATGAAATGTTATAGAAGTAGCTGGCAACAAGGCCAAATTTTTGCAGATTGATATGAGAAATAACAAGCATCAAGTTCAGAAGCATGTTTTAATTCTTTTTTTTTAAATTAAAAGAATTACGGAAATAACTTGGATAATTCACCTTAATATTGAAGCCCGCTTTAGCACTTGTTTCTATAAACATGACTCCAAATTCACGAGACTTGGCATCCCCTTCCTCTATTGAGACTTGCCTGTATAGTTATCAAAATCATGTTATAAACGAGAAACTGATAAACTATTTGATCTAGCAGATACAGATTCAGATGCGTGCAAATAGTTAAACTGAAGCTAAACTCTCTTATCGATCTATTTATCCCGTAAACATGGTTTCTCGTTCGATAATAACATCAAGTTATGAGCCCCTATTAAACAACAGTTCAACAGGATTCCAATTAGGCTGTTAGGTGATAAACCGTGAGGCCTTTTATCCCATTGTCGTAAACGTAGCATTAAAATTATTTTTATGTCTAAAATTTGCAAACCAATGAAGATTACAAGTTTAGGATTAAGTCCCTTCAGCTACTGGACACAGTATATAAGAATACTTTGGCAAACATATCTGATATCCGATTACCAAAGAATCAACAAACTGTAACCAGTAAAATCATTTGGGTCAATCTTTATAACTCATTATTACTCACCTTTTATCAACGAGATCGGTTTTATTCCCAACCAAGACAATAATAACATCACTGCCCCTTTCTGTACGCACCTCCTCAATCCACTTACTAGTATTTAGAAATGATTGCCTGTCTGCATGACAAAAGCTAGATCATAAATGCAGATAATCATAAATGGGTGTGGTGCATAACAGCTTGTGAATAATCAATGAAAATGAACGTTAATGAACATCCAGATCTACACACAAGGATCAGATAGAAAGTTTTAGAGAAGATAAATGTTTCGATCACTGCTTTATGCTCTTCCCCTGTTCCCCCCAAGGAAAAGGGGTATTAAATTATTTAAGCTTGAGGATAATTCATATTATCAAAGTAGTTTAAACCATTTAGATAGACACTTCTCAAATTTTATATATTCCTAATCTACTTTTTAATTACTAGATATTGGACTTTTTTCTTTAATATTCTCTCTACTATTTTTCTTCATTTTTTCTTCTTTCTTTCTCTTATTTTTGCCTGTTTCTTTTTGTGTCCTACATCGAATGGCTTTTGATATTATGGCAAACTCTTTATATTAAGTATAAATGAGGAGTCTATTTTACCAAAATAACTTAAGCCACTTGGTTAACACTCCCAAATCTTATATATTCCTAATCTACTTTCTAATTACTAGATGTGAAACTTCTTTCTCCAATAGGGGAGTAGAAGACCAGGACAGCTCATTGCTATCAAGCCAGTGATTAGTGTCATTAACCATTGATTTGGAGAATCATGTAAAAAAAAAAAAACAAAAATCTTCGTGACAAAAGAAAACTAAAACTAAAACTCACTTGCTACATCATATACAACAACTGCGACAGAAGAATCTCTGATGTAGCTTGGAATGAGACTTCTAAATCTTTCTTGTCCTGCAGTATCCCTGTTAAGTTTAAAAAACAAAGCGCTCAGCCAAATGATGCAAAATTTAACATATAGAAAAACCAATACCAAGTACATCAGAAGAAATTACTAACACCGCAAAATATTTAAGTTCAACTCAGTGACCTGAAACTCTATCTATTATTCTTTCAAAAATGTCCTTAGAAAAGGGGTGACATATTTATGTAAAGAAATGATAAAGTGGAAAGATAGTAATTCAATCAAATTGAGACATGAAAATCATGAACTATGAAGTCAAATCTTGTAGCAGTAGCACTTTTCATCAGTTAACGGTGAACCAAAAGAAGTTTTCGGATCTCCAATGAACAGGAGGAATTGAGGAATGACAATGTTCATTAGATGTTTTCATCCAATATAACAGAGCACTGCCTAAAATATAGTCCACAGCTTAGAATTCATTCATCTATATTTACTTTCTCAGTTCTCATTTCCTTTTCCATCATCTCTCTCTTTCTCTTATTTACACCTATTTATGAATGTATCATGGAACCAAAGTAATAACACCTAAAAAATAGCAATGAAGTTTTTCTTTTCGGTAATGAGTATCACATCATAGCTTTTTATAAGAATTAAAATAATCATAAGTAGAGTGACTTTGTTTTACATGAGGAATATAGCCTACCAAAGCTGCAAACGAACTGTTCTGTCTTCAAGATACATCGTTTTTGACAAGAAGTCAATTCCAATAGTAGCCTGCAGTTCAAATCAGTAAAACATGTGTTAACCTAGCAGCACGAATTAAAAAAGGAAAAAAAAAGTATAAAAACAAGTCTCAATTTTCAGTCATCTACAAATCATACAGGATAACCAATATAAACAAAGAACATTACAAGGTCAAAGGAATTTAGCACATAATTCCACTGGATCTCAATTCAATATCTCAATCATCAACACTAATCAAAAGCTTGAACGCAATTCCGCAAATACAGCCTCTTTTTACCACTCTAGCATTTCACCAACTCAAACCTCATGAAGTGGAGATTTATATTCATGCTTAATGGATAATGAACCTGTAAACAATGGTTTGAATTTTTATTCTAAGATCTTACCCTACATCATATCGGACTAGAATTAAAATATAGTTCTGATATTAATGCCCCAAGCAACACACAAAAACCGAGAAAAAAGTATCTACTAGAGTAACTAGACTAGAGTATATCGCAGAATATCTATCTCTTGCTCCTACTCTTCGCAAACAGTATCATAATCATAGCAATATTTTGAACGATACATGTATTAAGTGCCTCATCAATTAGATGATCTTCTCCCTAACAAAAGTTACAAAGCATATACAGCACATGAACAACTCTTCAAAACAAACGAGAATGGTGTTGCCCGCTGTCAAAAGAGCTAAGAACGTAAAAGAATGTCGAATTGCAGATTGATCTACGAAAAACGATATACAGATATCGTAAATCAGAAATGTGATATCTGATACGAGATAAATTAAGAGATCGACAGCATATCAAAATCCTTCAGCGTTAGGGAAGAAAAGTTAGCAAACAAATCCAAAGAAACAAAAGGATCAGGAATGACCTGATAAGTGGTGTCGAATTTGTCGTACATGAAGCGTGTGATGATACTGGTTTTGCCAACCGATTGATCACCCAAGAAGACGAGCTTGTATTTGGCAAGAGGGGACACCGTCGCCATTTTGTGGAGATTGATCGGAAGAAATGTCAGTAATTGGCTGTGGGAAGCAAATAAGGCTCAGATCAGATCTGAATCTCCCAAAATCTCACAATCACAGAGCGAGAATCAAGGGAGAAGCAAGAAAAATATGACAACAAGCATTTTCGAGTGCAACACATTTTATATGCGCGTTCCGCGAGGAGAAACCGCCAACCGCGACGCGGACGTCAAAAGGCCAAACCTTTGAACTTTATGGCTCAAAAGGGGGGCTGAAAATAAACTGCGAACTTTCTTTGTAATGAATTTGGCAAAAAAAAAAAAAAAAGGCTAAAAAAATTTGGCCAAAAAGAATTATAAGCCCTTTTCCTTACGGCCTTGGTCAAAATGATTCTTTGATTTCATTTTGAGTCAAAGATAATAAAAAATGTCCCTAATAATTCAAATATATAAGAAAGATGTTTTATCACCTTTTTAATATCGTGAAAGGTTATTTAACTTTCCTGATTTAAAAGTATTCACAATTTGTTTTCACAAAAAAAAAATACCTCTATTTTAGTTTCATTCAAATTTAATATTTTTTAGAGAAAATATAATAACGTATCTATATATCTTGATTGCGCTTTTCCTTATTCATTGTCTTTTTAGTTTAATCTATTTGTAACATTAATCGTTGTAATTTTAAATATATACATATATATATATATATATATATATAAAGATTATGATCTGACATTTAAGCAAAATTAACTTTGCCGATATTAACTTGTGATTTTTATATACTTCTTTAAAATTATAAATATTAACGTTGAAAATAGATTAAGCTAAAGGAAATAAGAATATCAAATAAAATTATAGGAATTAAAATAAAAAAATGCAATAAAATAGGACATCATGTTGTATTCTCTCTTTTGGATGTCAATTTATCAACTTGATAGTGGAGTTAGCTTTCTCTTCTAAGCTTCACATCAAATTTTTTTTTTTAACAACTTGTCTTCAATATTAATTCATCTATGCTTGCCCAATTCTTATAATTAACCTAAACTAACTTTAATGCTTAATAATAAAGTAATAAAAAAAATAGTTAAAACTGTATTCAAAACTTGTTAAAACTGATTATAAACAAAATATCTTATTAATAATTTATCGACTCAACTGAATAGATTGAATTGGATTTTAGTTAATCAACAATTTATTAACTTGTGAAGTGGCGAGGTTATGAAAAGTGAAGTACTCCATAGTTTGACGGAAAATCGAAGGTATAAATCTGAGCAGTCAAAAGGTTTTGTTTAGATTTCCTTCAAAACTCTCCATTTGAAAAGGTGATAGACTGATACTCGGTTCACGAATTGAAATAGGAACAACAATGTTTTAGTACAGCTAAGCAATATTTTAGCCTTTCAGGGACACAATACACACCCTCTGCCACGTGTGAAATTATGATACTCCTTTTGTTTAAAAATATAAAATATTTTTAATTAAATTTTATCCTTTAATAAAATAGTTACCTACTTTCAAACTGACCATATCTTTTCATATTTATTCCTATTAAACACCCTATAATAAATATAAAATCATTATTAATAAGGACACTTCTAAAAAAAAATAATGATTATACCTCAAAAGATTAAAAATATCTTATATTTTTTAATATCAAATTTTTCAAAAAATATATTATATTTTTAAACGAAGGAAGTAATATTTAACAGACCACTTTATTCAATTTACCTCTTCCAAGCCGAAACTTTAAATTCCTCGAGTTTGCCTTTGATATTCCAAGTTTAACTTTAGAAAAATATAACACTAGGTTCTGTAATTTGATTTTTGGTTTTAGTTTCTATAATTTTATTTTAGTACTAACAGTCCCTTTAATTAATTTAATCTATCTACAAGATTAATGTTTATAATTTTAAAAATCCAGATAAAAATATGGACTGACGCCAACGGAGTTAAATTTAATGATGTATACTTAATTCTGTTAATCTTTTTGATGACGTGTACTTAACTATGTACTAAACTCTGTTAATCTTACCTTCATCTTCCACATTATATTTAAGCTAAATATAAAAGAAATTTTTTTTCACTTACCTTTTATTTTTAATAATATATGGTCAACCTTATAGTCTTTATATGTATTTTTAAAATTAGAAGAGCTAATATTACATATTGATTAAATTAAAAGGACTAAAAACAATAAAATAAAATTATAGGGATTAAAAGTATAATTAAAGTACAAGGACCGATTATTATATTTCCCCTTCAATTTTATCAATTCAGTGTTTTATATTTTCTTAAGCTATTATATAAATTTTTTCTGTTTTAAAATATAAATTGATCTTTAAATTAATTTGATATAATGTAAAGTACGTTGATTTTGGCATGTATATGTGATTAAATAAGAATAAATTAACTTTTAAATTAGCGTAATTTCTTTTATCAATCTAGTCCCTTAAATTACATTGTGTTATTTTATTTTATTTTTTTAAATTTCTGAATCAATTTTTTTCTTCATAAATAATTGCCTTTTTTTATTAATCTACATAACTAACAACTCAATATTCCGTTATCAATATCAACATATTTTAATGATGTTATCTCTTCTTCAAATGAAAAGGATGAAACTGATAACGAAGACAAATTTAAAGAGTTACGTTAATAAAAATTAATATAAAAAAATAATTAATAACTAAGAAAAAAATTAAAGTATTAAAGAGTTCATTATCACTACTGAAAGAGTTAAAAACTCAAATGTGGGCAAAATACTCGCCACTAACTGAGGCTTTCCTGAAATCCGCTGCCTCTTAGGCAGTGACTTATTCCATAGATTATTGCTTTCTGATATCTCCTCCGTCAACTCTTGGAGGCTGTGATTCATTATTGTTTATTCAAGATTATTAGAATGCTCCCTCTTTCGATGCCAGCTTTGGATGAAGAGAAGAAAAAATATCGAAACAAGGGAGGTAAAAAAGAAAGGGCATCGGCGACAGAAGCGAGAGAGGGATAAAGACGGTGGGAAAAAGAAAGAAAATAATATGAGTAACAAAAGAAGAAGAAGATGGAGATGGAAGAAGGAATAATGGAAGGAGAAATTGATGGAAAGAGACGGAGTGTGAAAATCAAAGTTGGAAATAAAGGCTTTTAAATGAGGATTTAGATTTGAAAAATAAATTTTGTTTAAGATAACTTAACTTCTCGACCAAACTTTAATACTGAAAAAGGGGCTCAAACTCAAGCAACTTTTCAAATCATGTTCTATTTTTTTTTTTTACTACCTTAAAACACACTATTTGGCAAATAAAAAAAATCCTAAACATTCAACCATTTTAAATTCTTTAGCTTTTTTCATCTCTTGACTTAATCTTTTTCTCTTACCTTCTCTTTCTTTTAGTTATCTCATCTCTTCTTCTTGTTGCTCTAATGCCCTCTAATTCTCTCTGTCTCTCCACTCTGCTCTCCCTTTCATCTATTAACTCAACGTCTCTTAACTCGATGTTTATCTCTTGACATTTTATTGTTTTAGCTTTTTATCTTTTTTACTTTCAAGTAATTCCTCTTCTGGTATAGATCTTTTTTTAGGCTATCGATGTCCAAGATTTTAATTTGATACTCACTTTTAAGATTTTAATTTAATTTAAAAATTTTAATCCCTCGTCTTATTCTTATTCTGTAAAGATTATATTGATATGTCACATATGTTTTATTTCTGAAACTTTGTTATGAATTCCAATTTCATTAACTAGCATGTATTTAGATTTTTAAATTTTTATTTATTTTTTAGATGATGTAAGACTTTGATTTAATTTTTGTTGAATTTTAGAGTTAAATTATAATATCAAATATTATGATATTAAATTAAATTAAATTATTTTTAAAAAAACACCATTAAATAATAATATTATTAAAAAAATCAGACTTGTAAGCCTAACTTTAAGCCATTTTAATAAAAGTCAAGCCTCAAATTTTGGTTAAAATTTAGGAAATCGAGTTTCAAAGGTTGAGCCCACCTGTTCTCCTATTTTTAGTGAAAATACGTTAATGGTGGTGATGATCGCAGGTAAAAGAAGAAAAATAATTGCAAATTATACATGACGACGCAAATACTCCAAACAAGATCAAGTTCTATTATGGCGAGGAGGTTTGGTCCCCATTCTGCCCCTCTAAACAGCTTTCTTGAGCCTTGAAAAATATAATAGAAAATTGAACTCCAAACTAGAGGCAAACATGCATAGAATTTATTCTCTTCATAAAAAACATAAGACATTTTTTTAATTGAATGTTAAAAGGTGTTTTTAAGTTTTTTAATGTGTAATTAATTAATTTTTTTTCAAAAACACTTTTAATATATAAATTATTTAACCCTTCATCTTTAAATAAAATATCCTAACAAATAAGAGTAAAATAAAAAAAGATGATGTTAATTTAAAAATAAATGACTAATTTATTAAAAATATGATTCAATTAAAAATATATTTTGTTTTTTAAGGGGCATCATTTATCATGATAGGAAATTTAAAAAAAAAAACTCTAATTAGATTGCTTTCACCGTAAAAGAGACGGTGACCAACATTATGTTTTGGAAAGGAAAGAAAATAGTGAAACGGTAACTACCAAGTGCTAACTGCTCATTGTCCCCCACCCGCAGTCCAAAAATAAATAAATAAAAGAAAGAGTACGAATCTCATCCATGCATTGTTTTCAGTTTTTATTTTTTACTCTTCCATTAAAAATATAAATATATTTCATCTTAAGGATTGAATATTAATAAATATAAAATATTTTTAATATTTTAAGATATAATAATATATTTTTTAAAGTGTTCTAATAAATAATTATTTTATATTTTTATATAAAACATTCTATTAAATAAAAATAAATATAAAAATATGATATTGATTGAAACATAATTAATTATTTTATTAGAGATGAGTTTGATTAAAAAATGTCTCAAATTTTTTGATGAAGGGAGAACATCTTTGAGAATATCGTGAAAGCTGATAACCTCCCAAGGAAAGGAACAGTCCACTAACCATCTTAACTACGCTCCTACACAAACCACAAACTTACTTCTCAGCATTAATTTACCGTATATGCTTCCTTTTTCTTAAAATGATGCAACGGCTAAGAAACTCTGAAACAAAGTTAATTATATTTTAATCTTTAGGAGGTAAGGAATTAATGATAACAAATATTATTTCTCAAAAGATACAAAAAAGAAAAGATAGACCTCTCCAAATTAAATTGTTATATAATATATACATAAAAATTTCGAATCTTCAACCATTTATTTAAGTGATTAGATCTTATTACTCATGCTAACTTTAATTGATATCATCATCATCAGCATCTTTTTTTTTTAATATGTATGGGCAAAACAATGTTTTTATTGTGAACAAATATTCTTTTATTGAAGATAATATTGTTCGAGGCAAGAAGTACATGCACATCTTTTATCAAGCAAAACAAATTTTAAAATAAAAAATCATTATTTAAATTTTAATTTATATAAAATAAAAATTCTAAGACACTGAAATAATTTTTTTATAAAAACTAAAATAAATTTTTTTAATTGTCATATTTCTATTTTATTTTTACCTATCAAATGTAAAATAATCTTTATATATCTCACCGGAAATAAATCTAGTTTTCTTATAAATGTCATATTTTATTACATTGATTCCCAAGTTATATGCAAATTTTAGGGTTTAAATTTAAATTTGCCTCAATTATTAATTAATCTTCAAAATTTAAATTTTATCAATCAAAGAATGACATACAAATCCTTATGAAATAGAAAAAATGCCAATTTTATCTTGCGAAATGTGATAATAATAGTGAAGTTCTAAATGACTTCTTTGACATCAAATTTCAATATAAAATTGCTTTAGTACTTCTCTATAATTTAAAAAGTTATAATTTTTTAAATTATTTTAATTATTGATGGAATCAAACTTACATCTAATCATGCTAAACTTGTAAATGATATAAAATTAGTTAGACTTTTTTGATAGAAAGTTGTGATTTTTTAAATTATTTTAATTATTGGTAGAACTAAACTTATGAATACTTATGCCAAAATTATAAACTATATAAATTAATTGTAGATGGATACTAAAATAATTTCACATAAAAATTTAATCTTCAAGAAGTTCCTTGATACCTCATTATTATTATTGCATTTCAAGAGACTAAGTCCATAAAATTTTATGACTATAGTTACTCTACACAATTATGTCACATGCATGTTAGGATTGCATGTTGTCAACCTAAATATCAAAGAATCAATCACCTTTTACATCCCTTCCTATAACACACCTTACATTTCCTTCAAATCATAAGAAATAATTGCTTATAGCAACGGAACTTTAGAAACTTGATCAATAAAAATCAATTTTTAGGGGTCAAATCAATAATTAAAATAAGTTTAAAGGATTAAAAATTTTGTTATCTCCAAATTTCATGATCATTCCTAATGATCCAAACAAATAAAGGATAGATGGTTCTATGAACAAAATGCCATATAACGATTAGCAACTAAACATATGATTTCAATTAATTAAACCAGATAACTTTTTTTTTCCACTACAAGTACATTACTCAATTAAAAGTTAAAACTTGGTATAATCACGTGTTATCTAATTGTAATAATAAATAACAGTGAAAGTGAAACAACTAGCTACCATTGTCCTCCACTAGCTCTCCAAAAAATAAACAAACAAATAAAAAAGGAAGAAAGAGAACGGTGATACTCATAATCCATATGTAGTTTTCAGCTTTTACACACTTGGGGAATTTTCTGAAAGCTGACAAGACTCTCAAGGAAAGAAACAATCCACCAACCATATTAACTACAGTCCTACACAAGCCACAGACTCACTTCTCAGCATTAATTTAGAGAAGAGCTCGGGCATGTCATACCATTTATTCTTCCAACTTTTAATGAAGCGTGACCATAGGATGACTGCAACTAGAGAAACACCATGCGAAAGTCTCTTCGGCTTCAGGCGACTCAGCCAAAAGACGCAGACGCGGAGAATCAGTCTCATGGCACTGATCATCAACTTTCAGACAAAAGCATCGTAGTTCCTGACAGAGTCATCACCATAGCTGACAGCTTCAGAAACGAACACTCATGGTACTATATTATAGTCACAAAAGATTCTGTTTCATTTCATATTTTCTCATATGGCAGCTATAAACACACGATTCACAATTTCCATGAAATGTCTATGTTGATGTGACTTTTGCACATCTAATTCGAGCAAAAATTCTTCTGTCCTTTTTTTTGTTTTTTTGCTTGATCTGATTTGGGAATCATGCAGGTTTATCACACCTCAAATGCCTTCGGACTTGTCAATTCAAGTTCAGGAAACTACCTATAATGTTCACAAGGTATGGCTAGACACACCTAGCATAACTTTCTTTTCATTTGAAAATGTTCCAAATGATCAGAGAAAAGTTGATCAAAAGGTGTTCTACTTGTTCTTAGTAATTGAACAAATTTAAGTTAACTTTTCATGTTTTGATACTTCCTAAAGAGCGAGAGAAAGCAGAAAACAAAACATTGAAAAGGAAGATAGTAATTCATAAGAAAGGCACCATAATCATCTTATGTGCTCACTTCTTTTGCTGAAACAGTATCCCTTGATAGCAAAATGTGCCTACATAGGACGATTGGAAGTTCAGCCTTCAGTCTCAAATGCAGGATACGAGCTCAAGCTTGAAAACTTCCCAGGTGGATTTGAAACATTCGAAATAATTATAAAATTCTGCTACGGCCTCCCAATAGACTTCAACTCAAAGAATATAGCAGCACTGAGATGTGCGTCAGAATTCTTGGAGATGACTGAAGAACTGGAAGATGGGAATCTCATCTCCAAGACTGAAGCCTTCCTCACATTTATTGTGCTTTCTTCATGGAAAGACACTGTCACTGTTCTGAAATCTTGTGAAACTCTATCACCATGGGCAGAGAATCTCCAAATTGTTAGAAGATGCTGTGATTCCATTGCTTGGAAGGCTTCTAAAGATAACTCCTCAAGTACAGAGGTAACAGCAAATCAAGAAGGCTGGTGGTTCAATGATGTGTCAACTCTTCGCATTGATCATTTCATGCGGATTATTGCAGCTATAAGAGCAAAAGGAATCAAACAAGAGATAATAGGTAAATGCATTATGCACTATGCAAAACAATGGTTACCAGGAATGGATATGGAGCTAGAAGGGCTAAGGGGGTACGGGTATGAGAAGAATGAATTACAGTTCAGTATTTATAGTGGGAAGGAGAAAGAAAAGGCTGGACACAGCAAGGAGCAAAAGACAATTATTGAAAGCCTATTGAGCATACTTCCTCCTCAACAAGAAGCTGTGTCATGTAAATTCTTGTTGCAGATGTTAAAAATGGCTATGATGTATTCTGCATCGCCCGCTCTCACTTCAGACATTGAAAAGAGAGTGGGGATGATGTTGGAAGATGCAGACGTGAATGATCTTTTGATTCCAAGATATCAAAATGGAGATCAACGGAAACTAGTAAAGTGTGTATAGCTTTTCCCATTTCACACAATGGACACTGTAATTAATAATTCAAGTTAAGTAAAAACTACAAGAAATTCTCAAAATGGCCAATCACATTAACCTTCATGCTTTTCTTTTCCTTTCAGTGACATGATCAACTCATCAGAAGAATGCACGATACTGGACACTGATATAGTGCAAAGGATTGTGGAATACTACTTGATGCATGAACAACAGGTGCAACAGCAGCACAAGTCTGGGAAATTCAACATCAGTAGGCTCTTAGACCATTACCTAGCAGAAGTTGCAAGAGATCCAAATCTCTCAATTACCAAGTTTCAAGTTTTGGCTGAACTGCTACCAGAAAATGCTCGAACTTGTGATGATGGTCTATACAGAGCCATTGACACCTACCTTAAGGTTAGCTTCTTATTTCTTCTCCTTGTGTCTCAATTTTCTATTTAATATTCATGTAGAAGGAATTTTGAGACAATGTTATGACATTTTGACACTGAGATCTCCCCAGACTCAGCCTGTATTGCCTGAGCATGACCGGAGAAGGCTGTGCAAAATAATGAACTGTGGAAAACTCTCACTTGATGCATGCATGCATGCTGCACAAAATGATAGATTGCCTCTAAGAACTATTGTACAGGTGAAGTTCGTCAGATCCCAATAACCTAGTTGCTCAATTCATATATGATGTATCTTTGAGGACTTTTATTTTAAGCTCCACAGGATTGGATCAACTAGAAGCGGTAATTTGGGCCAAGCCTGATTGGCTAGCCTGAATAAGCTTAAAAAAAAAAAATCTTAGGTTTGAGTTTGAACGTTTAAAAGATTTTCTTTGCTCCAAACTTATTTGGGTCACCCAAAGAAATTTGGGCTAAGTCAGAACCTCAATGGTTTCAGCCCAAATACCTAAATTTCTTTTTTAATTAATAAAATAATATAAAAATTAAAATTAGATAAAAAAATATAAAATGAAATAATATTTAACAATTTGGGTATTTGGACTAGCTCGAAAGCCTAAGGAAAAAAATATAAAATAAAATAATATTTAATAATTTGAGTATTTGGACCAGCCCGAAAGCCTAAGGGATTAGGGTCGGGCTTGGCTATATATGAGTTTTTTTACATGGCAGGATATTTTAAACCTAATCCAAATAAGTCTAGCTCGAATAAGCCTAGCCCACCCACATTACCCACTCTAGAATCAATATATAAATGAAGTCTACGTTAATGGGTTATTGTTGAAATTTACTTTTGCAAAATCTTTCTTCTATGCAGAAGAGGTTATGCCTATGCCTAGTGTGATTTATAAATAAAATCCTCTTGATGTTGCAGCAGAGAAAACGAATTTGGAAGAGCATTTTAAATAAAAGAGAATTTGAGATGTGATATAGTCATCATAAACTAATTTACAAAAAGGATAAATAAAGTAGATAGAACAGTATATTTCCAAGTACATTATACGAAATTTATATTATATAGAACAGCAAAGGTGAAATGGTACAGATGATGTCTGAAGCTAAACAGAAAATAACAATAATGATTACTTGCCCTTATTATAATTCACCCCTGACCAAAATATGAGATTTGCAGGTTCTATTTTCAGAGCAAGTAAAGATGAGAGAAGCAATGCAAGAAAAGGAGCCAATACCAAGTGGAAACAACTCTGAACAGGATGTAAACCAATCATTTACAAATGCAGAGATTCAAGCACTCAAATCAGAACTTGAGAATGTAAAGTCCAAGATGGCAGAACTACACGATGATTACTCTGAGTTGCAGAGGGAATATGAAAAATTGAGTAACAGCAAGCCAAAGAATGCATCAGGATGGGGTCTTAATTGGAGAAAGATTAAGCAGTCCTTTCATGCAAAACTAGATGGAGACGAAATTGGAGAAAGACAGGAAAAACCAAAGCCACCACATCCCAGTAGACTAAGAGCCAACTCTAGAAGAAGGCTCTCCATGTCCTAAAGCTTTTCATCTCAATCCTGTAGCAAATATAAAAGAGATCTTTTTTTCCTTTTTTTGTGTGTGAATCCTACAGTTTATATCTGAGTTATTCTTTGAGACTCCAAAAATAAAAATAATAAATAAAAGGGAGAATCACACTAAGGGCCCACAAAACACAGAAATTGCACTGTGGACCAAATAGATTTTGATAATGCACTGCAAGCTCAAGAGTTCTTGTTGCAATTTTTGTTAGAAGTGAAAGTACAATTTTGCCCCTCTCAAAACTAACCAAGCACAATCTGATCTTCTTCCTCCTCTCCTCTTTCTCTCTCTTCCTCTTTTTCTCCCTCTTCCTCCTCACAACATTGCATTATGGTTCCCTAATTCTTCCTTTCCCTTCTTCGCCTTCTCGATCTATCCGTCCTTCTTGCAGTGAGCCAACATACAAGAGCTAGCTTCTGCACGACTTGAACTTGTTGCCTTTATTGTTGTCCCTAAACAACTTTTGCAAATCACTCTTCCTAGATCAATAACATTGTTTTGAGATGAGCATCAAGTAGCTCCTTAGCATCAAACCTCTAGAACTCAAGTTTCCCTTTAAGTTCTGAATCTATTCATCTTTCATTTAGATACATGTTTTTGGGATTTCTAGGATTTATAGGAACTGCTACAGTGATTGCAAAAACTAAAACTTTCCATCATTGAGTTGTGAATATTTGAATTTGGAAATTCTAGATCTGGACTTTGAATTGTGAATTGATGAACCTATACTTGTGAATGTTTGGACGTTAAGCTATAAATTTGAGAACTTTGGCAACACGTCAACTTTGAACCTTTGCTTGTCAAGATATGGACATTTACATGTACATATTTGAACATGTATTTTTTAATATTACGACTTTTACTTGTACATTTCTGAACTTTGCTTATTAATAATAGAAGGACCTATGGTTTGACATGTGAATTGATTAACCTGATGAATAGACTGGCACCCAAGAGGGGAGTGAATTGGGTAATACTAAATTTTACTAGATAACTTTAAAGAGATGAGAATGAATGCAAAGAATAAGGAGATTTGACACAGGAGATTTATGCTTGTTCAACCCAAAACTTGGCCTACGTCATGTCCTCAAGATCACCCTTGAGATTTTCAAATAAACTCATAAGTTTAAGTGGGTGCTTATAACCTCAGTACAACTCTCAAGACTTGACTAGTCTTGTTTCAACAAGAAACTTTGCTACAACCACTAAGTTATTACAATTCATTTGGAAAATCTCTTTTCAAGATTTCAGCTTGTTTACAAATAAAATAATTATCAAAGATAAACTCTCTAGAAAGAGTAAATAAAGTACAGTTAAAAGCTTAAGAATTGTTAAGAGCTTTGTCACAAAATTTATCAAGAATGATAAATGAATGAATGCAAGAATTTAATGCACAACTTTAAAGCTTTTAAGAGTGTTCTAATGATGAATAGTTCACTTATAGATCAAAATTCTTACTCTAGACTTGAATTACATCACATATATAATTTTGACAGTTAACAAACCGTTGGAACATTATATCTAGCCGTTGGTGACATTCCTTGTGTGGAACCAAAAGATTCACACGTGAAATAGAGCTAGGCAAATTTCAGTCAAGCATATGTGACAATTTAACAGTGAAAACTAGGGACACTCACGTGTGTTTCGTAAGAAAATAAGATGCAAGTAATTATATGTGACAAAACAGGCATGTGACCTTCAGGTTCTCTCACGTGAATTGGCCAGTAGAATGCCAAGGTCAATTTTGTGATGAATCAGGCATGGGATCAACTAACCATCACGCATGAAATGATTGGATACAAAATCCAAACCATTTTGGATGACAAATCATGCATGGAACATTCTAACACACATACACGTGAAATGGCTAGTTACAAAACCAAGCAATTCGGGAAGACATATCATGTGTGGAACTCATGTGCTTTCAAGCAAGGATTGCATGATTAAAAAGACTTAGATCAATAAGTGATAGACCACGCAAGTTCACAAGACGAAACAAGCTTGAAATGGCTTAAGACTCTTTTAAGTAAAAAATGTTCAATAAACTTAGTGATAAAACACGTGTGAACATTTTTCCTTTTAGGCATGAAATGACACCACTCAAAATACAAAGGAATACAAGGTGACAATTCAAGTGTGTATACATAAGGATAACTTGCGTGAATTGGAGCACAAAAACTTCAACAAGGCATCACACAAATACAAGTGACAAATCACATATGGATCACCATTGAATCATGCGTGAAACGTCAATTAGTGTGCCTTAAGTGATATATTATGTGTGGGACCATACTGAATCATGCGTGAAACATCATGCAGTGAAAAAATTAACTTTTATGATCCAATTTAAGCTAGAATGACATTACACCTAAGCTTGAATTGATTAAGACAAGTCCTAAAAATGCACATATAAGATTAATGAGGCTAAGATGATGCATTCATTTTAAGATTGATAATATGTGATGAAATTCTCATAGTTTTCATATTGAATCTAAGAGAAATAAATAACTTATCCTATAAATCTTCTTCTTCTCTTAATTCTTCATGCTTTTGAAGGTTTTGTCTTTATCCATGAATCTTTATGTATCTGAACATATAACATACACCTCTTCTCTTGATTTTATAATCATCAAAACATATGATTCAATATAACCCATGTTTATAAATATTTGAACCTAAAGTTGTAATTCAGTGAACTTGTTTTGCATGTACTTTAACTCTAAACATAGCTTTCAATACCAGTGGACTTGAACTTGTTAATATGTCAAGCTAAAGTTGTGAAACTCTAAAGTTGTAGTTGTAAAATTTGAAACTTGCATTTGGTGTCATTAAACATTCTAATTACATGAAGTTAGAAAACCTTGAGTTTTACTTTTGAATCTATGAACCTAGAGCTGTGAATATATGAATCTTAAGTTGTAAATTTTTATTTTGGCCAACAACTTATCACCTCTCAACAAGAATTTGGCTATAATAGACATAATTGTTGATATGTGAACCCAATATTGTGAAACTATGAACTTCTAGTTGTAAAATTCAAAACTTATTGTCACTAAATATTTTTGCTAACTATTAGAAATTCTGGACCTTTAATTGTGAATCTAACAATATATAGTTGTGAATAAGTGAATTTTGAGTTGTAAATTTATGAAATTGGCCAACAACTTATCAACTTTGAATAAAAATTTCACTACCAATAGACATATATTTGTTAATATATGAAAACCATATTGTGAATTTGTGAACTTGTAGTTGTAAAAAAATTGAAAGTTGTACTTGTTGTAAGTAAACGTTATTTTTTATTCTCTACAGTTACAAATTTTGGACTTGTACTTGTTAGTCTATAAACTTATGCTTGAGAAATTGTGAATTTGTAGTTGTAAAAAATGAAAGTTTTACTTGCTGTCAATAAACCTTGGTTTTGCAAATGTGAAGTTAGAAATTTTAGACCTTTACTTGTGAAAGGATGAACCTGAAGTTGTGAATATTCAAAACTTCAGTTGTAAATTTTTTAACTCCACCAATACTTGAACTTATTTTTTTTTTGACTGAAATACTTGAACTTATTAACTTTGAACTTTTGGATTGCTAATTTGCGCAGGTGCATTGGGATTTCTAGGATTTATAGGAACTGCTACAGTGATTGCAAAAACTAAAACTTTCCATCATTGAGTTGTGAATATTTGAATTTGGAAATTCTAGATCTGGACTTTGAATTGTGAATTGATGAACCTATACTTGTGAATGTTTGGACGTTAAGCTATAAATTTGAGAACTTTGGCAACACGTCAACTTTGAACCTTTGCTTGTCAAGATATGGACATTTACATGTACATATTTGAACATGTATTTTTTAATATTACGACTTTTACTTGTACATTTCTGAACTTTGCTTATTAATAATAGAAGGACCTATGGTTTGACATGTGAATTGATTAACCTGATGAATAGACTGGCACCCAAGAGGGGAGTGAATTGGGTAATACTAAATTTTACTAGATAACTTTAAAGAGATGAGAATGAATGCAAAGAATAAGGAGATTTGACACAGGAGATTTATGCTTGTTCAACCCAAAACTTGGCCTACGTCATGTCCTCAAGATCACCCTTGAGATTTTCAAATAAACTCATAAGTTTAAGTGGGTGCTTATAACCTCAGTACAACTCTCAAGACTTGACTAGTCTTGTTTCAACAAGAAACTTTGCTACAACCACTAAGTTATTACAATTCATTTGGAAAATCTCTTTTCAAGATTTCAGCTTGTTTACAAATAAAATAATTATCAAAGATAAACTCTCTAGAAAGAGTAAATAAAGTACAGTTAAAAGCTTAAGAATTGTTAAGAGCTTTGTCACAAAATTTATCAAGAATGATAAATGAATGAATGCAAGAATTTAATGCACAACTTTAAAAGCTTTTAAGAGTGTTCTAATGATGAATAGTTCACTTATAGATCAAAATTCTTACTCTAGACTTGAATTACATCACATATATAATTTTGACAGTTAACAAACCGTTGGAACATTATATCTAGCCGTTGGTGACATTCCTTGTGTGGAACCAAAAGATTCACACGTGAAATAGAGCTAGGCAAATTTCAGTCAAGCATATGTGACAATTTAACAGTGAAAACTAGGGACACTCACGTGTGTTTCGTAAGAAAATAAGATGCAAGTAATTATATGTGACAAAACAGGCATGTGACCTTCAGGTTCTCTCACGTGAATTGGCCAGTAGAATGCCAAGGTCAATTTTGTGATGAATCAGGCATGGGATCAACTAACCATCACGCATGAAATGATTGGATACAAAATCCAAACCATTTTGGATGACAAATCATGCATGGAACATTCTAACACACATACACGTGAAATGGCTAGTTACAAAACCAAGCAATTCGGGAAGACATATCATGTGTGGAACTCATGTGCTTTCAAGCAAGGATTGCATGATTAAAAAGACTTAGATCAATAAGTGATAGACCACGCAAGTTCACAAGACGAAACAAGCTTGAAATGGCTTAAGACTCT